TATCAAAATTTACAAAAAAAAAGCTTAATATTTATTTGTTTACTTTATTAAACATTTCTTTCAATGTAAGTTGTTTAAGTTACTTCGTTTTATGTACTAATACTTTTTCTTTAATTCTATAAACGGACATAATTTCATGTTCATTTACAAAGTTCCGCTGTTCAAGTCCTGTAATCGCTGTGCCGAGAATACCGACTAACTTGTCAATAGAAATGCTTTCGTTTTCACTAACATCTCCGTCACTTTCTTCATGCCTTTATCCATTTTTTTTTTTTTTTTTGCAGCAATTCCACTTTTTGTTTGATGGACATCGAAACATGCTTTCGCTTTGTAGATCCTTTGGCAGCTCCGGTATCGGAAACTCTTTTTGACATAATCGAAAGTTCAAGCTTACTTTTTATAAAATTGCTCTAACAGTCTGCGAAAAATAATAAGCCGGATCCAATTAGAAGATTAAGGAACAACGCAATCTGCAACATTAACTGAAATAGATAATTAGATAATTTAGCCTAGCTTATACCGTCCGTTATACATTAAAGGCGCGTGCGTAAACGCATTATACGTTTACGCATGCGCAGAAAGCTTGTAACTCTGAGGTGCGGATTATAGATCATTCTGGATTATGGACGTCCAGATTAAAGACTTTGTACTGTATTATACATTCTAATTATCCGAACTGCGACTATCCGAATCGCTTTCAGAATTTTTCAAAATCAACTGAAGAAGAGAAGGAAAAAGGAAGCTCAAGAAAAGAAAAGGGAAGAGACAGGAGAAGATGAGGATAATGGTCACTTGAGGAATTAAGAAACATTCATTTGCAAATTCCTCGATTTTCAAAAGTTAATGCTGAGGATACAGCAGAATGGATGGTTTGTGATTCATCAGACCCTGGGTTTTAAATTCTAAATGGTGAACTTATTGAAAGTGTGAGAGAAGAAAGTGTCGAGGAAGTAGATGAATGAAGTTGTTAATGTTGAAGCAGACGCGGGGCCATCAGCTAGTGAAGCGTTTGCCGGTCTTGAAACTGCACTGAAGTGGATGGAATGCCAACCCCAGTATGACCACAGGCAACTTCTCATTGTCAAGCGGATGCACGATTTGACTGCCAGGAAACAGATGAAGACAGTCAAGCAGCTTACTTTGATCGAGATACTCAGAAAGCAATGACTTTCAGCACTTTTAAGTACTGTACATGTAACGCTATGTAACATGTACATAAAAGTGTTCCCTTTTCATTTTAATTAATTTAAACTTCCTTTTCTTTAAAAATAGTTTCTTTCTTTCCCTTTTCAACATACAGTAATTAATTAAAAAGTACATAAATTCTTTCTTTGGAAAAATTCCAATTATCCGAATGGGGGTCTGATCCCAATTGATTCGGATAATTGGAGTTCTACTGTAGTACATTTTTCATTTCTTGTGCATCTTGCTACTATTCAGCTTCTGGGTTTCATTGCAAATCATTTTACTTAACTTTGCTACACTTTTGGTGACTTGTTTACTTTGCTTTCCTAAGAAAAAGTGTTAAAGATTGATTGCTGTAATCTTGGCTACTTTCATACTCTTCACAAAAAGTAGCTTTTAGCACTTAAGAAGGCTGTTATTAAGAAAAACATTATGTTATAGTCAATTCTCAATTAACTAGGAGGGGTGGATTAACTGGAATACAAATTAGAGCCCACGCAAAAAAAAAAAAAAAAAAAAAAAAAAAAAAAAAAAAAATCGTTTATTACAAAATGATGAAACAATTTCAATTACAATTCAGCAATGTACAAAAAAAAAAAAAAAAAAAAAAAAAGAGAGAGAGAGAAAGAGTGAGATAACAAGGATAGCAGACAATAAAGTATTTGATTGTTATTTTTATCCACATCAGTACTTTACTGAATTGGATGTAATCTAGAATATATAAACATAGTTAAACCATCCATTAGAAGTAAATTTCTCAATTATAAAAATAAATACAGCCATTAATCTTCTGTAATGTCCTTTTTAATTTAGTTTATTCATTTCTAATGATGTTTATTCTTCTGTTATTTACAATGTGTTCTTTTTGTTTGAATACTGATTTAATTTATGTGACCAGATAAACTTAATCTTTAGATTAAAACTGTAGATACAAGTAATTTGTTAACAATATTTATCTTGTTTAATACTTCTATTATGCCTATAACATATTCTATTATTTTAATTAATATAACTAAATTTTGTATTACATTTTTAATTAATTTTTAAAATACAAGTAAATTGTTAAAAGTATTTAATTATAATACATGTTATACTTCTCTTTTGTGTATTTTTAATGGCTATCACATTAATCACGATTTTGAGTTAATTTTGGGCATCTTCTCTGTTGATAAACTGTGTAGAAAGTTTATATTATGCTGTATGTGCACATTTAAAAGTAAAAGTGTACAAGCATAATCAGGTCCTTGCTTCGGAAGGTTATCACTTAACTACAAAGAGGAAAGTACAGGCTGTAGAAATCTAAGAAAAATTAACTGATTTACAGTAAGTATTAAGGAGTGACTGAGTTCTCTGTTAGTAGATATTCTTTAGCAAAGATATACTGAAAACTATGCTCATGCTGTATTAAGTATTTAAATTCAGGTGGCAATTACACTGAAAAACAGTTCAATTATATAAGTACATTTTTTCAGGGCCTGATTTCCACCAGTCCTCCGAATTCAACCATAAACAAAGTATAGTATTCAAAATATGTTAAATTTTTTTAAACTACATTCTTTAAAAATATAAAATTAGAAGCAGAACTAAAATGCTCAATTTATTATTTTAGATACTTATGCCTTTAAAATTGAGAGCCTGAATCCTTATCTCGCACTCTTGTATGCTACAACCACAACTACATGCTTTAGTAAAGCCTCAGGTAAAAAACCTATGTCATACTAACTTGGCAACATCTTGTATATCATTCTTGTATACAAGGCATAGTAAAGGGTGTGTCTAAAGGTCCTCGTGTTATCCAAAGCACTTCAACAGAGATTGGATAAAAGAAGTGAAATGGCATGTACACTAAATAAATGGTAAAAAAACAAACTGTTGCAAAGGAGATGGAGGAAAATTTTATTACATTCCCTTCAAGTTTAAATAACAAATTGATAAATCAAAAACTTATTTCATGAAATACATTATATAAAATATTCCTTACACAAAATATAATCTGTATCACTAACAATTAAGCCTGTAAGCATGCAGGTACTGAGTGGACTGGCTGTTTCTTTCATATTGGTCTCTCCAGGTGCAGAGGGTTTTTTACTACTTAAGACTAAATCCACGAAATTAAAGAAAGATGAACATGTTGTTTAATAATGTTCTATACAGTATATATTCAGTATATGCTTTTGAATATTTTTTTTACTTACATGCTTCTAATACTTAGAATTTTTTTGTTTAAATATTTTTAAGTTGCATATTATTTTTTGTCAGTGTTTACTTACCTGCCAGTGACACATTTGATAACTAAATATTTTATTTAAAATTAATTTTTAGTCAGATAAATTTTAAAGTAGGGGTTTATACACAGCCTATGTTACAATTCTTGCATTCGTAATAGCTCATCTGCCTTTTTGGAGACGTTTTGCAGAAAAGTAAATGAACACAGCATTGCCGTCACATTTTTCTAGAACTTGAAAGCACTTGTTGTCTATCTTCAAAAACAGTTAATTTTAGTTTTTTTTTCGAAACTAACATCTCACCAATTTTCATTTTGGGAGGTGAAAAACTTTCAGTCATTCCTTTCCTTCTTCTCGTGACAGTCCCACAAGTATTTCTTTCAAGCGTAAAGAATTCATCCACGAATGACAGAGACATGAAAAAATAATCAACATACAAATCATACCCTTGACCAGAAAAGTTCTTCCAGTAAATATTTAACAACTCTTTCCCCATAAAATCCTGAAGTTTCTTAACTCTTGTTTCTTTTCTCATACAAACAATAAAGTTACAGATATAATCTGATTTAAATTCACATAATTTGTTAAAAATTTTCATTATAATCTTCAAATCAAAAACAATTGATACACAAAAGGCATAATTCTCATTCAGAAACTGGACTGCTAATGCAAACACTCAGCACTATAGCAAGGGAAACAAAAAGAAAAAAAAAAAAAAAAACCTCCCATAACATTCATTAATAAATACCACCTGCACATTTAAAGAAACACACAGTTTTATAGCCCCTCTCCCAAAAAACCATAGCATTCATCTATAAATACAAATCCACATTTTTAAAAGAGCCAGTCCTCAACAAGCCTGCCAGTGAAGAAAATGTTTTTCCCTTGATGGTTATACATACAATCAAAACCAAAGCTGTGAGACTCATCTCTGTCTCAGTTGGAGTAAAAGATCAAATCTACATGTATCTCAAATCCTAATGACATATATAATGTCATCTTGTGCCAAAAATATTAGTTTCTAAAGTGTTCCAAAACTGTGATACAAATGCCTTACAGGTGGGGGGTGAATGCGAAAATGCTCTGTCACATCGACGTGCCAGCCGTCTGCATGACAATCAGCAGGAGGAAGATCTCTGTAACAAGTTTTGTCTCAGGTTTCCAGTTCTGAAAAATCTGGCCCTAATTTTTGTGTGTAATAAAGGCAGGGTTTTTTAACTTCCGTTTTATTTTATTATTATCAATGATAGTGCTGCAATAACAAATTTAGGTATATTACAAAAAATAAGTCATATGTAAGAATTATAAGAAATTGTATAATTATGAATTATAATATTACAATCCTTGATTGGTGTAACAAAGGATATTAAAAATACCAAATGCCAAAGATGTTATTACTCATTTAATCAGTCATTTGAAATCTAAATTTAGTTGCAGGAGATTTTGAATTAATTCGAAAAGTATCTTTTGGTAAAATGGTTTTAAATCTAGGATAAGAGTATGCAATCATGTTGCAAACTTCTGTTTTATGAGAAATTACGTCAAAAATATAAATTCATCTGCAGCATTCACACATAAAATTAACAAAAATCAGATGTACAAAATAAAAAATTTATTACAGAAAATATACAAATCATACACATACAATGTAAATATTTTATTCATTTATTTTGAAGTCCATCCCTTTCCTCAGAAAATCACCACCAAGATTTTAAACTATGATAGATGATTTGTACTATACAGAATATATTTCATATTTAAAAGCCTATAATACTTATATATTATAAGTATCAAAAATAGAAAAATTTGTAACATCATAATTACATAAGTAGTTAGTAAATTAAGTAACAGCCTATCCTTTTATCAAAGGAGAAAAATATTCCTTTTACCTTAACAGAAATAACAGTCACGACTTTGCTGATAACGACATAATCAAATATATATCAATTTATAGATAATACTTCTTAATTTTATCTTTTATAACTTTGATGTCAGTTTGAAAGAATTCAAAAGCTTTAAAACAAGAGAAGAATCCCCTTGAATTTTTGTTTTGTTGGAGGAAACGACCTACAAAAAAACAGAATACTTATTTTTACAACAGTAATATTTGAAATCAATGCATGATTTTTCATAAAACATTACCCCCCCCAAAGAAAAAAGAGGGAGGGAGGGAGAAAGAAAGGGGAAAAAACAAGTAATTAAAAATTTTCAGTATTATTTAAATTATTGCTCAATTAAAAAAAGTATATTTTATATTTTCAAATTCAAAACAGTTTCAGCTTTATGCCTTTAAGAAATCTGCAAGCAATATTTGTAAAATTATCAACAATTTAAAAGCTGTTTAAGTGCAGTTAAGCCTAATGTTTAAATAACATGGTGGCCATTGCTTGTTTACATTTGAAATGGCAGAGTAGTGGATTTGTTGCCAATCTAGAGAAACGTAGCTTCACAACAACAAAGATAATGCCTTCATTTATTATTGCGAATTAAATCATGCTTAATCCTTTCTGGAATTTTTTCGAGGAAATAAGTGTTTAAGATTTACTTCGTAATTTTTAATACAGATATTTTGAGTTTTTATGTATTTTTGCCTTGTCGCGAAGTGAGAACTGAATAAATTGAATGAGAAATACTGAATCATCTGTGAAAAACTGTTTCTTTTTTGTTTTGTTTCCTTAATTTCTTTTATACGTTGTTCTAGATTTATTATACTATTTGAATAGAACATGTGGCAACGATTAGATAATTCTTCAAATGAAATAAATTTTGTGCATTCTGAGTTATAATATGAATGAAATATAACGCTTTTAAGTGAACCTAAAGTCAGATTGTCACTATGGTAAACAAATATAGTGAATTTTAAAGAGTGCATTTATTCTATTGTGGTTTGTGCGCTATTGACGAAGTAGATTTAATTCAATCCAATAAGTTTAAATGAAATGCAAGATAAAATGCGTATAATTTAATAGTCCGTACAACAAAGTCATGTGGTGTACACATCAGATTTTTTTAAAATAACATCATTTATTTTGCTTTGCAGATAACACTTGATGAGTAATCTTTCTACAATACAGACTGTAGAAAAGACTATAAATATGATTATTTCATTCTTTAATAACAAAAATGAATTTTCCTTAACTTTATATTATGTTCAGCTTCATAATAAGCTACTTCACCCAGCAAGATTTACACTAAAATTTGCCTGACCAAAGAGCAATTTCCCCTGACCAAATATAATAAAATGCGAGTAAATTAATAACTTTACGTATTTACTACAAAATATAGTGAAATAACTAAGATTGTAAAAAATTATTTTGCCAATATTTTATCAATTATTTTGAAGATTAAGGAATATATATACAAGAAATATTCAAATAAAACAAGTACAGTTTTTAATTTTCAAATGCTAAGGAAAAGCTACTGGTTTTGCAAAAGTGTTGTTGTTGCTGATGCTCACTTGTCTGATGTATAGTCAGCCTAAGCCCACGAAATTCCTCATGGCAATGAATGCAAGATTATGCCTGTCATTGCAACAGCCTTGAGCATGTTACAGGTGATAATGTGATTTAGCTCTTCTGTCCCCCAATTTTTTTGGAGAGCACCTCTCGAGAGGACTTTTGGCTCGCTGCATATATAGAGTGCCCCCATGCAGCACAGACACTATACATTTGCAAACATCCATGCCTTCTCCGGGATTCAATGCTGAGCCCTTCAGCATTGGCATAGTAGTCAATGATACTAACCACCATACCAGTTGGGTGGCCTTTCCCCGCCCCCCCCCAAAAAAGTAATTTATAATAGCACATCACTCAAAATTAATATTATTCCTGTAGTGTCGACATCTATTATTTTTGGGCAATCTGCCAACTTTAAGCTCTGAACTTCAGTTATAGAGTTGTAGTCATGCTGAACATTGCTGTATTGTGAACGCTTACTTTTTCCATTCTCCTAATAAACGTTGATATCCCTGCGATGAAGTTATAATTAAATTTATTTTATATATTACACCATGCGCAGTCATTATGGCAGTCACTAATTTAATGGATTTAAAATCAAAATAAAATAGCAATTTCATTTGATCTTGAAGAATTCAAACTGTAATAGTTATTTCATCTTCAGTACCATATCTTGCTATTTGGTTAATTTATTATTTTTTATAAAATCATTTTCAAGTCATAATAAATCACATAAATTTATTATTTATATTAATTTTATTCAATTTATTGTTTCTTTTAATTTATTTATTTTTATTCTTGATGGTCCTACATAAATTCTGACATTTTGTTAGAAATTAAGCCTTGCATTGATCTAATATGAATGTTTCATAAGAACACTCTAATTTTTAGGTTATTATTCAGATCTCTACAGAAAAAAAATAAGCTTTATAAAATAGATTACATACAACATAAAAAAATTTTGCAAATGATCATTATTTTCTCTGAAAGACGAAATATTTAAATTTTCAAATTCATCTATATTTATCAAATTTATGACGAATAATTTTTTTTAGATCTTATTGCTCTTTCCAAATTCAGAATTGATTACAGAGTACTATTACGAATTTCAAAAACCAAATGCTCAGGATATTATATTAAATACATATAAATTAAAATAATACACAATTTTAAAATGATTCGGTAAGAAGACACAACATAGAAAATCCATCATTATATATTATACTGCAATAGTGTAATTTTAACTAAGGAACAACACACATGTTATTTAAAACTCCCAAAGGTATCATTCATGGAAGATAATGACAGAATTTGTATCACAACAGAAGTAGCATCCCAAGCAGTCAATGCTTATGATACTTAAAATACCAAGCATCTTCAGTTAACAGACTTCCAATGTAACATTAAAAGAAATAATAAACATACTTCGAAATGCATAATTAATGCTACAAATTCAAAAAGATATCCCATGCATACATCCCCCCCAAAATAACTGTACCTATTATTATTTTTCAATACATGTTTCTGAATCATTTTATATTAAAGTTTTATAAATTAATATGTTCCTTTCCATAAACAAGGTAGTTTAATATTTACATTTTCTTGAACACTTATATACCCTTACCTGATCAGCAGAAATTTTATATAAAATCCAATCAGCAAACACATCATCATCTACATTTATGAAAACTGTTGGCGTCACACCTTCTTTAGCTGGACCTCGAGAAAGCATTCCTTTGTCTGTTTCCAAGTCTACAACTAAAATGTAAAATTTACATATAAATGTTATTATATAACAAGAATATTAATCATAAATTACATCAATTTAAAAAAAAAGAGTATGAAAAAAATTAAATCAGTTAAAAATGTAAGAAAATATCCATTCTTGAAAGAGGAATGATAACTAGGCTAATAAACATTTCCTTTAAAAATACCTTTTTAAAAAATAGTAAAAATAGAAAAAATACTAATCAATTACATTCAATGGTTATTAATTTATAAATAACTTATTTGAAAAATGGAATACAGTTATTAAATACAAGAAGTTATTTGCACAAGCACATAATACTAGAAGTGTACCATATAATATTTTTAGATAGAAAGCAGTAATCCCCTCCCCTTTTAAAGGAAATAGAAATTATCTTACTCCACTGAGTTTGCTTTTCACTGTTCTTAGTAACATTGAATTCAAAGACTGTCTTGAATTTTTCTACAAGTTCTGGCAATCTGGAAATTCGTTTGCCAAGCTCTACAAAACATGGCTCACTTCTTAATGATGGGTCAAATGGCTAAAACAGAAATCAAAATTAGTCAAGTAATTTTAACACAAAAATGTTTCATATAAATATAAAATTAGGACAAGAATTTAATCATTTTCTGATTTTTAAATGTTAAAATGAACTTAATGGTAAGTAGCATTAATTCTGAAGCAGGATATATAATTATTAATATTAAATATAATTATTAATTTTCTAGAACGGATTTTCTCCTTGGAAAGCAAGTGAAAAACTATTGCAAACTGAAATTAAGCAAAGATATTGAAAACAGACGAAATATTAATAAACTAGTAAAAACTTAGAAGATTAAAATTTGTATGGGCATTGATCAAAAATGTACTTTTTAAAATAAGATCAAATTAAAATAGTCTACACATAAAAATAAATTTGAAAGTACATTATGTTGGTATGCCAATAGTGATGGACTGTCACCAATAAAGCGATAAACATTATGAACCTCATTTTTTCTTTTTTTTTTTCTCATTCCTACAGGACAGGACAGTGATATGACACTCTCTATTATGTAACTCCCTCTTTCAATATGTATTTGGAATACTAACAAATCCTAATCTATTTTAATGTATTAATAAAGTATGTGTTTCACTTACAATTTCCGTCTACAACCTTTTTTGGATTACAAGTCAATTAGTTATCATCTCACTTGAAACTGCACTGGATATAAGGTAAGAGGAATCAATTTGCTCTCTACTTTTCTTAATTTGTTGTAAGATTGCGAGGCTATAAAAATGTTTTACAACAAAAGATTACGAGCCCTGAAGTGAAAAGATCATAGCTAATTAAATAATAAAGTAACGAATTACAGGGTTTTCAGTTCATAATGTTTATCGCGTTATTGCCGACAGTCCATTGCTATTAGCATACCAACACCCCTACTTGATGGGCAGCATCGCCATTTGCAGCGATTCTCAAAGTTTCTCAAACACAGGCTTGCCTAGTGGTTTGGTGAGTAGATCCGCAATCATGTCCAAGCTTTTGCAGTAGTCTAGGTTCAGAATCCCATTTTGTTGAAGTTCACACAAGTAGTGGTATTTAACGTCTATATCTTTTGTTCTGGAGCTATTTTTCTCCGTCTGTGATAGCTTGATGCATGACTTGTTAACTTCATAGAGAGTAATTGGCAGATTTTGTTTTAGTCCTAGATTTTAAGCAAATTTAACAGAAATTGTGCTTCTTGTGCTGTATTAGCTGCTGCAATATATTCTGCTTCAGTTAAAGATAGTGCAATGTAGGTTTGCCGTTTGCTGCTCCATGAAATGCAGTTATTTCCTAATTTGAATATGTATCCGCTAATGGATTTTCTTCTTGTTCTGTCATTTGCCCAATCTGCATCTGAATATGCAGTTAGTAAAGGTTCTTGAATTTCGTTAAAGACCAACTTAAAGTTTTTAAATGTATATAAATATCGAATGACTTTCTTGACAGCATTCCAATCTTTGTTCCTGGGTTTTTCGTTTCTTCTACTCAGTAGATCGACATTGCAAGCTATATCTGGTCTGCTGATTGTTGCAATATATAATAATGCCCCTACTGCTTGTCTATATTCTGTATTATCCTCTAGAAGATCACCTTCAGTTTCTAGTTTGCAGTAGTTTCCATTGGTGTATATGTTGGTTTTTCTTTTTTAAGTCCAATTTTTTTAACTATTTCTTCGATTTTATTCTTTTGTTCTTTTGGTTTATGGCAAAGGTTCCATATTTAAATCTTTCGATGTTTATGCCAAGGTAGTAGGCGACTTCTCCTAGGTTTTTTGATTTCCAATTTAGAGTTCAGATGTTGGATTGTTTCCATTACATTTTCTTTTCTTTTACTTTCTATAAGCATATCATTTACATATAATATTATATATGTCAATTTTCTGTTGACGGCTTTGAAAAACAATCATGGGTATGCTTTACTTTGTTTAAGATAAATGATATGTTTAGAAGTATTTTTCCTATTTTCAAATTCCAAGCTCTAGTGGCTTGTTTTAAACCATATATAGATTTCTTCAGCTTGCAAACTTTATTTTCATTTCCAGCTTTTGAGTATCCTTTGGGTTGAGTCATGTAAATTTCTTCTAGTTCTCCATGAAGGAAAGCTGTTTTGATATTAATATGTCTGACAGACATGTTTTTATACGAAGCTGCACATAGGAAGACTCGTAGAGTTGTATATTTTATTACAGGAGCAAAGGTTTCATCATAGTCAGAACCAAACTTCTGGCTAAATCCTTTTGCGACTAATCTGGCTTTGTATCTTTCAATTTTTCTTTCTGCATTGAGCTTGGTTTTGAAAGACCATTTGCATCCTATTGGTTTTCTTCCTTTTGGTAAATCAACTAATTCCCAAGTGTTGTTTTCTTCCAGTGAATTAATTTCTTCTCGAGTTTGAATTTCCTTCCAGGATTTGGGTTTGGAAGAGATTGGATATTTTGCATGGAATCCATAGCAATCAGGTGGTTTACCTTTTGTGACTCTGTTCGATGTTCTGAGTTCGAAAAGAAGTTCTTTGTGTTCTGATATTTCTTCCTCTTCGAGTAGTTCAATTTTTATTTCTTCCTCTTCTGACCTTTCTTCCTTGGGATTTTCTTCATCCTGGTTTAAAGAGACGTTTACTGGTTCGTTAGTTTCAGTGTCTTCAATAAATCGTAGAGATTGACTTATTATGATTTTGTCTCCAGAGACTAAAATTCTATAGCCTTTACTTCTCCTGTCATAGCCAACGAGTATTCCTTTTATAGCAGTACATTGAGTTTACCCCTTTTAGGTTTATGTAAGTAAAAACCTTGCACCCGAAAGTCCTCAGATGAGAGAGGTTGGGTTTCTTGGTATGCCACAATTCATATGGCGTTTTTGCATTTGGTTTTGTGCGCATACGATTCTGTAAATAATTTGCAGTTAATACTGCTTATGCCCAGTATCTGTGAGGTTGACCTGAGTCAGCTAAAAGGCATCTTGTCATCTCCATCAAAGATGTATTTTTGCATTCACTGACTTCAATTTGGGCTGGACAACACGGTACAGTAAGCTGGTGAGTTATACCATGTTTTATGAGATATTCTTCAAGTTCCTTACTTGTGTACTTCCAAATTTATTGTTTGTAAGAGCAATAAATTGTTTTAATTTGAAATTATTTCATTTTTCTTTTTCATTAGGTAAATCATTGTGAACCTGCTGTAATCATCTATAAAAGTTATGAAGTATAGGTATCCACTAGCAGCCAGTGTTTGTACTGGTCCTTAAACATCAGTGTGAACGAGTTCGAATGGTTTAGATGCTCTGAATTTCAATTCTTTGGGATACGGGAAATCAGTTAGTTTACACTTTATTCAATGAATGCATTTGATGTTTTAAAATGGACAGTTCCTATCGCTGTTGATTTAATACATTGCCCATTCGCAGTTATAATATCTGACGGATTTATGGCTTGAAAGTCCATGAAATATTTCTTATTATTTACCAGGTGGCTACTTGCACCGCTATCGAAAATAAAACTCTCCGGTGATTGATGTATGATTTTGTCAGCAGACAGAGCGACGACGACACATCTGGATTCGGTATCCAGTGTTTTAGTTTCTGTTTCTTGTTGATTCATCACGAGGGGGGTAATGTTACCCGCGTCCGTGATTGTCCTTAAGTCACACGTGCCCCCTGGGTGGTGCTAAATGGGTAACTGTCACAAAGTCCTGTGGCATACTGGGGTTCAGTGGAATGAGGTTCGGTCTGATGATGAGTAATCTTATGACGACCCAACGGCCCGCTCTTCCCTGGGAAAACCGGCGATTGTGGGGAGGATTTGAAATTCCGAGGACCTTTGATCTGGAGAGGAGGGGTCTTGGAGGAAGCAGCCATGTAGAGGATACAGGAGAAAAGCTGAGTTTTGCGTCTCAGGCCGCCAGATAGTACAGGAGCCCGGGGCAGCCTAACCAGCATGTCCTGGCTGCTCTATCAGCTGGTGTATAATCTCGCCTGCCTTGTAGTTCCAGGTGGTGCCTGGGTGGGGTCCTGCATGGCAAGAGCGGGGGGCTCTTCCGAGGTCACTACTGGCTGCTTAATCTGGGGCTAGCCCCTCCAAACTGGCTCTTAGAAAAATCAGAAGGAATTTTTCTCCCCCTTCCTTCAATCTTATACCAAAATGGATGCTTGCAATACACAAATTAGATAAAAACGCATCTTCTGAAATCCCCACTATAACCACTGTAATTCCTTCTGAGGGAGTGAATGTACCCTCGGGTGCGGACGCTCTTCTCTTTCAGGACTACAGAAACCAGAACCGCTGGTGAAAGGGTGAATGTGCCTTCGGACACGGACGCCTTGAACCTAGTGGGGATGGATTACTGACTCCTCTGTCAAGAAGTACTGCAGCCAGATGCGCAAGCGGATGACCAGTCACCAATGACGGAGGTTGTAAATAAAAGAAGAGAAAAAAGGCAACGCCAGAAAGAGCGGAAACGACTGGAGAGGGCCATGGAAGGGATCTCGATCTCTGGGGAGAAGGGAGCGAGAAAGAGAAAGAGAAAACAGATAAAGCTGGGGACCTCTGGAGCATGACCTCCCAAACCGGTGAGGAAGAACCATCCAAGCAATGAAGAGTCTCGTAAGAGAGAACGCATTGCTGGTGACACCCCGGAAATGGCCCTCAAGAAACGACGGCTATATAGTCAAGCTGCAAGAAAGGCAATCACTCTGCGAATCGTCTGCAAGGATGATTCCAGAGACATAACATCGGTGGATTCAGATTTCATCACCTCTATAATTGATGACCGAATTATAGATGGCTCTATAACCACCTGCAGGGTCCACAAGACAGTCCTGCAGCCGAATGGCCTCAACATTGCATGTGAGGACCAGGAGACTGTGGACATCCTGAAGACTTTAATTAATGATCTACCCGGCCCTGAAGAAAACCATCCAGGTTATCATGCCATGGCTCCCGGAGACAGACCCCCCATGAAGAGGTTTTTCGCTTGGTTTCCTGGTAACAGGTCACCAAAAGATAACATCAAGCTCCTT